GCTCACTCTAGGTCACACTCGATTGTCAACCTCAGGGTCACGCCCACGGACCACGCCTGGGGTCCCACTCACACAAATCTGAGTGTCTGGTTACCGCGGTCCCAGATCCGGTTCCCTTCTCAAAACAAACAGGCCCGGCTTGGACTCCTGCTTTCCTCCTTCGCCTCCCTGCTGGGTCCCGCTTCTCTAGTCTGACTTTCGAGCCCTGAGCTTCCAGTTCCCTCCTCCTCCAGAGTCCCTAAAATCCACAAGCCTCTCCCCTGACCAAGCGTCAGTCGTTTGCGCCTGCGCACTCCCACATAGGCTGGAGCTCCCAGAAGACCATGCAGCTGCCACTTGGGAGCGGTGGAGATGCAGCTGTGGCGGCTCGCGTGTGCTTGTATCATCGTCCTCGCTTTTCTGGCTTGGACTACGTTTTCTCACAGGCTCTGGGGAAGCTAATGAACTTTGACCTATGGTTCATTTTATGTTAGCCTTGCTGTCACCATTGTCTGTGTGGTGAGTTGAGGTGAGAGTGGGTTCGGGGTTGCAGAAGGATGCAGAATACCCGGAGTTTCCGAGTACAGGTGCAGCAACTGGAAGGAAGATTCTCAGGCCTATGTGAGTCACGTGCTGAGGAAGGTAATTGTGGGTGTGTGTACTTGATTGTATGACTGCATCAGCATGGGATGTGATTATGAGTGCTTGTATTTCATAAAGAGGTGTGTGTGGTGTGTCTAGGCCAGGTGTCTGATGTTTCCGTGGTTTGAAGGCTTGATTGGCCCTGATTAGGCTGTGACTGTGAAGTGTTATACTGTGACCAAGAGATCCTCTGAAAGCACTACTGGAACTGGAGAATGATCAGAATTGTCCTGATCTAGCTTTTGTTACTTTTAGGTGGGTAAAACTTCATTTTTGCAGTTCTGGGACTGAGGAATCTCTGGACAAGATCCCCATGTGACACAATCTGTACCTGTCAAAGACTCTGAGGCCCTTGTTCCCCATGATGACCTCTGCTGCCTTCTTCATTGCATCCTGTATCCACTGTCCAGGCTAGAGCTTAATACACAGTAGGCATGCAGTACCTTAAGTATAACCTATTCTGGAGTCAATTGTTAAGTTCCATAGTTTCGTGAAATTTTTTGCACTGGGTTTTGTTTTTCTTCTGTTTGTTTGTTTTGTTTTGTTTTCACTGCCTCTGCCATTTCACCTATAGCCACACTGCAGAGAAATGCTAGCTACACAAAAATGGCTATGAAAGGGAAGTCCAATATGAGTCCTGGAATGACGGTTCTAACTGAAAAAGCAAAGCCCTGTGTTTATTATGGCAATTTTAAAGCTGGAATTTCCTCCAACGCAGAGAAAACATGATAACGAGGCACCAACAACAGGATTCCTTCCTCTTAATGTTCCTTTTCAAAGTTCTGTGGGGGCAAGCTGCATGTTGCAGATCCATAGCATTTTCATAGCTCTGTTGACAGAAAACTGTTGAGAACATAGAAACAGATTTCAGTCCCAAGCTTCTGTACACCTTTATGAAACAGGGAAGGGTCAACAGTATTCCAGTCCTTCTCAAATTTCCATCTTGGGATATTTAATATAAATAATAGGGGCTTGCTAGTGATAACCTAAAAATAAAAAGACCTGTCAAAGTGAGAGGCAAAAAGCATTTATTTGAGATAAGTTAATAATAGCTACTTGGGAATCAGTAATTCATGCTGAAGCCCAAATAATGTTCTATTATGAAACAGAGGCAATGGGTATTTCTGAGAAATGGAAGGGAAAAGATTACATCATCTCTGTTGGTGCAGCTAACAAAATGATGTTAATGCTAAACAATATTTTTAATTTTCAGTCCAGTACTCATAACAGTAACTGCTTTATTGCTATCTTTGCAAACAGTTCTCTGGGACACAATGTTGCTTTATGCCCAGTCCAAAAGTCATTTTGTCCTGTTTTAACACTCCAAGGTTTGAGGCATAAGACTTACAAGGCAGTTCCTCTGGTGGCAACTCCAGCTCCATTTTGAACTGGCTCCCTTTTATTATTGTTTGCACTAGTTATGAAGAATGTGTTCTAATTTTTAGTTCTAATTGTTGGCCTCTACAAAAGGCCTATATGTCACAATTCCCTTTTCCTTACAAGTTTTGCTGTGCTACAAAAGGTGAACCATGAAAGGAGAAAAGCGATGCAGTTGCTCATCTCAAAGCCAAGCTAGAGGTCATTTTGAGCTTTTACTTTGTTTTATGAAATAGTTTTGATTATTGATTTATTCATAATAGCAGTTTTGACAGGTATGGAGTGAGATCTCATTGTGGCTTTAATGATTAGTGATGTTGAATATCTTTTCATATGGCTATTGGCCATGTGCATGTCCTTCTTGAAGAAATGTCTAAAGTTCCTATAAAAGATCCTCTGTCCATTTTTAATCTATTTTTTTTTTTTTGGCCTTCAGTTGTAAGAGTGCTTTATATTCTTTGGATATTAATCCATTATCAAATTATCATCAGCAAATATCTTCTTACATTCACTAGGCTGTCTTTTCATTTTACTGTAGGTTTCATTGCTGTGTAAAAACTTTTAAATTTGATGTAGTCCCATTTCTTTCCTTCCTTTTTTTGTTTCTCTTGCCCAGGGAGACATATCCAACAATATAAAACAAGAATATAAAAAGAATATAAAAGTTAGGATGTCAACAAACTTACTATGTTTTCTTCTTGGAATTTTATGGTTTCAGGTAATATACTCAAGTCTTTAAGTGAGTTGAATAAGGTCACAGAATACACGATCAACATACAGTTAACTGAATTTCTATATACTGACAACAAGCAAGTGGAAACCAAAATAAAAATGTTATACCATTTATAAGGGCTCCAAAGAAAAAAATACTTAGTTAAACTAACAAACACTTACAGATTCTGTATGATAAAAATTATAGAATGCTAATAAAACAAATTAAAGAAAAATACCTGGAGGAACATGCTGTGTTCATGGATTGGAAGACTCAACAGAGTTAAAGATATACATTCTTTAACTTCATCTATAGATTTAACATAATTCCTATGAAAATCTCAGCAAGCTCTTTGTTGACACAGACAAGCTTATTCTAGAATTTAAATCCAAGAAAAAGACCCCATAGGCAGCCAAAATAATGGAAAAATAATGAATTGGAAAGCATTACTCTACTATTAAGTTTACTATATAATTGCAATAAGTATGGCACTGGCAGGAACAGTCATAAAGATCAATGGACAGAATAAAAAACTCAGAAATAGAGCCAGACAAATGTGCTCAAACTAATTTCTGACAAGGGTGAAAAAATGATTCAATGGAACAAGATAACTTTTGAAATAAATGGTGATGGAGTAACCGGACATATATTGACAAAAAAAGGAACCATGACTTAAAGTCTCACATCTTCTATAGAAATGAATTTAAAATAAATTACACTTAAATAAAAAATGTAAAACTATAAAACTTCTAGAAAAGAAACATAGAAGAAAATCTTTGGGAACTAGGAATAGGTTGAGGTTTCTTAGACTTGACGCCAAAAACAAACAACAAAAAATCCTCTCGTAATTCATAAGATAACAATGGATAAATTAAACTTTGCCATAAATTAATAATTTCAGCTTTGCAAATGACCCTGTTAAATGGATGAAAATTATAAACTCGGAGAAAATATTTATGTCACATACCTAGAATATGTAAAAAACTGGAAACTCAGCCATGACTGGTGTAGCTCAGTTGATTGTGTGTAGTCTCACAAACTGAAAGGTCACCGGTTCAATTCCCCATCAGGGCACATTCTGGGTTGCAGGTTTGGTTCCTGGTCATGGCATGTACTAGAGACAACGTATCAAAGTTTCTCTCTTACATCAATGTTTTGTTATCTATCTCCCTCCCTTCTCCTCTCTAAAAATAAATAAATAAAATCTTTTAAAAAAAAAGAACTTCGAAAACTCTGCAGTAAAAAAAAAAAATCAAATTAGAAAATAGATAAAAGATATGAATAGACATTTAACTGAAAGGGATGCATAGATAGCAAATAAACACATAAAAAATTGTTCAACATAACATTCCATTATAGAAATTCAAATTAAAAGCACAATGAGATATTAACTGCCCACCTATCAGAATGGCTAAAATGAAAAAGAGATATAGCACCAAATGCTGGCTAGGATTCAGTGAAACTGGATCACTCGTATATTGCTGGTAGGAATGTAAAATAATACAACCATTATGGAAAATCATTTGGCAGTTTCTTTCAAACTAAAAATGGGCTTATTATACCACTTAGCAATTATATGCTTGAGCTTTACCCCAGAGTTATTTTCACATACAAACTTTTACCTAAATGTAAGAAATATATATAAACAAATATTTATGTATTCCTGTTTATATAAACATATCTTCCTTTTGTGAAAATATATGAGATAGAAGTAAAAAGCCAATCTCAAAAGGACAGAAACTGCAGGGTTCCACTTATGTAACATTCATAAAATAACATAACTATACAGATGTGAACAGATTAGTGGTTGCCAAAGGTTAGGAATAAGAGAGAAAGGGATGGGTGTAACTATAACAAGGTAACATGACAGTCTTGTGGTGATGCTACTAATCTAGTATTTTGATTACTGAAGTGGTGGTACAAAGCTATATGTGATACACACACACAAGTGAGTAAATCTGAATAAGTCCTTTGGATCATACCAATGTCAATTTTTCAGTATGAGATTATACTATAGGTATGTAAGGCAGTTGAGGGAGGGTAGAGAAACAGTACACAGAGGAGGGTAGAGGAAAGGTACATGTGACTTCCCTGTAGGTTTCTCTGTTACCTCCTGTGGATCTATAATTATTTCAAAATAGTTTTTTTTTATTTCACAGATTGACTTACATCAGTTTTTTTAATAGTGAAAACTCATGATTCTTTGCTATTAAGTGCCACACATTGTACTTTGACTCATACTTCTTCCAATCTAATCAAACGGTATGAGGATGCCTACTAGGGCACGGCCCAAAATGTGGAATGCTTCACAAATTTGCATGTCATCCTTGCACAGGGCCTATGCTCATCTTCTCTATATTGTTCCAATTTTAGTTTATGTGCTGCCAAAGCAAGCACTCAAAGTTTATAAAAAGAAACCACCACACCCATATAAAAGAAAAGATGGCAGGCAACAAAAATGATAAAAGAATGACATCTTTCAATGAAAAGACAATACTTAAAAGAGTGTGTATCATTTTTCCATGATTCTCCTCTGTGTTAGTTTCTTAGAGCTGGTGTAACAAAGTACAATAAACTGGGTGGCATAAAACAACAACTGTAATTTCATGCAGTTCTGGAGCACTATAGTGAGTCACAGACACTGTCAAAGACTGCTAACCTATACAATGGACCTCTAGGACTAGGACTGACTTAGATGGCCTCATTTCTTCCCAGTCCCTTTGCTATCTCTACCTCCTCAGTGTAATCTTTTTCTTTAATTTCCCCAATTTCTTTATTTTCTTTTTTTCCAAGCCAAATTGTATCCAACTTTATTAAAGATACTTTTCATAAACAATCATGGTATTTCAGGCAGGACATGGGCAGACAATTGTTAACAGTACAAAATAACTTTCAAACTCCCTTCTTCAATGGACTATCAAAATCAGAAAGCCACTATAAAACCCAATTAAGTCTTCATTTGATGCTCTGAACAGCGAAAGTTTAGAGGGTTGATACTTCACGTTAAGCATGTTGCTCTTTAACAACTTTTCACAAGCCAACTCTGACTTTCAGAAAATGAAATGAAAATGTCAAAATTATCAATCTGTAGATCCATAATTTAAAAAGGGAACTGCTACTCTTTTGAGGGATTCCATCTCAGGAGAGACACTGGAAAGTCCAGATTGCCAAACACACTGGTAACCAATTTTTTTTTTTTTTTTGGTGGGGTGGGGGAGTCAGGTCCCAGCAGATTTCTGAGCTTAAGGGACTCAAGTTTATGCTTAAAGTGGAGAGGGAGAAAAGGACATAAAAACAAATTCTAGTTTTCCCACACCACAAGGTGTTTGTGGCAAGGCAGCTAATGTGTGTCAAAATCAAGGGATCCCTCCTCCCAGGAACCAAGAGGAAGTCTCTCAAAACTAAAAGGGAAAGGTGTTTTTCTCCCATGTCAGTCCAGCTTTGGAGACATTCTGTCAGAACTGTATGTTCTTCCCCGAAAAAAACCCAGCAATGAAGTGCTCTGTCTGCTAAAACATAGCTTTAAAAAATTAAGACAAAATTCTGCATTTTATAAACGTTAATAAAAAATAGTGTTTCAAACTATATATAGTCACCAGAAATACAGTTATCAAAAATGCGCATACTTCACTTGGCATCTCCAGCACCTTCAGCTTTCTGTGCCTGGTCTGTTTTGGCATCTCCATATTCCACAGGTTATTCCCATCCTTGGCAGCATCAGCTTTTCCCTTTTTTCCTTTGGGTACCTTCTCTCCCTTCTTTGCAGGGGCCTTTTTATAGCTTTGGAGGAGTGACGTTTTTCGTTCTTCACCTTAGCTTTATCTCCTTTAGCATCCCCTCCAGCCTTTTTCTTGGGCATAATGGCAACAGTGGCAGGAAGTATGGGCTGGACCCAGGGATACAGAAGCATGTGGGCTTTGCTCAGCCCAGGGAATGTTCTCACTTCCTCTTCACACCACTCCAATTTCTAATCAAGTTTAATTTTTTCCTAACTGTTCTATTAGAACATCAATTCATATGTTCTTGATTACTCAGTTGAAAATGTCTTTATAACACTTGAAAATGTATTCCTATCACGTAGCAGGGCAACTTGTATTTTTTTAAAAAATCAATAAACACTTTGTTGACTGTATCCTTTAATGAAAACAAATTTTTAAGTGTGATGTACTCTCATTTTTGCTTTGGTTACCTTTGCCCTGGTGCCATACCCCAGAAATCACTGCCAAATCCAATGTCATGAATTTTTCTCATGTTTTCTTCTAGGTGTTTTATATTTTTGAGTTTTACATTCAGTTTTTTGATCCATTTTGAGTTAAGTTTTATATATGGCATAAGGTGAGGATCCAACTTTATTCCTTTACACATGGCTAACCACATTTACCAATACCATATGTTAAAGATCCAACCCTTTCCCCTAGTGAGTGGTCTTGTCACTCTAGTCTAAAATCGTTTGGTCATATATCTGAGAGTTTATTCCTGGGCTCTCTATTCTATTTTGCTGATCTAGATGTTTGTCTTTATGCCAGTACACATTGTTGGATTACTGTAACATTGTGAATTTTTTTTCTGTTTATATACTATATACTTTGCAAGTTAACAGAGCATTCAAAATGTACTGAGCACTATTCCAGGGAATTTCCAATTTTTTTAAACTTTTTACAACATCTCTATGTGGTTAGGGTTTACCTTTTGCCTATTTTACAGGGATACAACTGAGACATAAAGAGTTAAAGTAATTTTTCCAATGTCACATGGCTTAACCACTGTGTATACAGCCACTTTCATGTTATCTTTTTCACTTCTATTGTTATGGCTAATAACAGTTTATTAAAGTAAAGTCTTCTCTATTTATCAGGTTCTATTATGGTTATGTTATCTATTGCCTATATAATAGCATTCAGATATTCTATCATCACCTCTCAAATACACGCATTACAGAAGTATGTCTATGAATGACAAATAAGCATATGAAAAGGTGTTCAAAATTATTAGTCATCAATACAATTCAAATCAAATGAAGATACCATTTCACTCCCCGCAGCATGGGTAAAATCAAAACAAATGACAATATCAAATGCCGATGAGAATGTGGAACAACTAAACAAAGTTTATAAAACTTGTAGGTGTGTAAAATGTTGCAAGTACATTGCAGGAGTGTTTGGTGGGGTTTTTTTTAAAGTTAAACACAGTCCAATTTCATAATCTTTCAATGGTGCCATCCTAAAGTCTACTTCACCAGATCCCCTGCCCAACCACAGATAATTGCCTGCTAGAAATCAAGAGAACTGCTAGGGTCTTAATGGCCCATTTTCAGCCTCTCCCTCACTTTGTGATTTTTTTCAAACTGAAGTGCCATAAATGAATCCCCAGATTTCAGATTATCTTACTACACATATCTCTGCAGACATTTTTAACAAGTTCAGGTTCCAATCAAGGTGGAGTAAGCACATTCCAGTGTTTCTCCTCCTCTGACTATAGCTAACAACAATAGACAGACCACATACATCAGCTATCTAAGGAGCAGCTATCTAAATTAAATGGTAGCTGAAAGAATAAGAGGCAGAAGCCAGAATCTCAATGCCACTGAGCTGGTAGTGAGTTCAGCATATATTTTCCCCCAGCATCATAGGTATCATAACTCAAAAGTATCACAAAACCTGGACCTATGCACCAGTTGTCAACAGAAGACACTACAAGAGAACTCCCTATTTCTGCTCTATACAGTAGGAAAGGAGGATTCTGAGTCACCAATAGTGTACAAAATTTAATGGCTTTGTTTTTGTTGTTGTTCTTTTTAGTTTTCTCTTCTCCCAGAAAATACTGTAGCTATAGTGGGGGTGCTAGCAGCAGTAGATAGGCAGGTATCTAAAACTTGAAGAAAAGGAATTTTTCTCACTAACCAGAGAAACTATCCTTTTAAGAGTATGGGGGACAATCCCATTTGTTTCTCTCACTTCCTCTCCCTCTTCTCTCTGATATTTTCTTTCTTTCTCTTTACTGCTTAGCCTTGGAAGTAACTAAATAAAATAGAGGCAAGCAATCTAACAGATATAGAGTTCAAAGAAGTGGTTGTAAGTATGCTCAAGGAAGTTAATGAAAACTACAACAGCATGAAAAAGAACATAGAAACCACAAAAAAGGACCACTCAGAAATAAAGAATATAACATCTGAAATGAAAAATACACTGGAAGAAATAAAGAGTAGGTTGGATGAAACAGAGGATCATATTAGTGATTTAGAATGCAGGGTAGAGTAAAACCAATCAGAGATGCAAAAAGAAAAAAAAGTAAAAAGAATGAAGATAGTTTAAAAGGCATTTGGGACAGCATGAAGTATAAGTTATTCCCATCCTTGGCAGCATCAGCTTTTCTCTTTTTCCCTTTGAGTACCTTCTCTCCCTTCTTTGCAGGGGCCTTCTATAGTTTTGGAGGAGCAACATTTTTCATCCTTCACCTTGGCTTTGTCTCCTTCAGCATCCCCTTCAGCCTTTTGGGCATGATGGCAACTGAAGAAACTATTTGAATAAATAAAGACATAAACTTTCCTAAACTGGTGAAATAAATAGATATACAAGTCAAGGAAGTGCAGGGAATCCCAAACAAGATAAACACAAAGAGGTCCACATCAAGACACATCATAATTAGAATGGCAACAATTAAAGACCAAAGGAGAATCTAGAAGCAGCAAGAGAATGGACAATAGGACAATGATACCTCAATCCCCTTCAAAGTAGGCACCTTGGGAGCTTATACAGCACCAGCTGTCCTGTCATATTTTCCTGAATCTCATCAACAGTCTGAAATCTCTTTCCTTTCAAAGGTGATTTTAGTTTGAGGAAAAGCCAGAAGCTGCAGGGCGCCAAATCCAGACTGTAGGGAGACTGAGTCACCTGGGTGATTTGACATTTTGCCAAAAATCTCTGCAGATGTGATATATGAACAGGAACATTGTCATGATAAAGCTGTCAATCACCAGTTGCTCATAGCTGCAGCTTTCTGAATCATCTGAATAGTTTCCACAAAGGAATGTTCAAACTTAGTACAGAATTTGATGCAGATTCGTTGCTCTACTTGCTCTATCATTTTAAATGTGACGGCGACACAGCGCACATGCTCACTCAATGGAGTCTACTGCCCCCACTGACTAGTACAGTGAAGTCATCATTGTTCACGTATGCACATTCCAGTCTACTCTCCTTCGCTGCCAGGTTAAATCCATGTATCATGAACTGTTCTCATTATACAGACAATGGTTGAACTTTTTCTGGACAGGCCTCGTGTAATGGTCAAAACTCATCCAACTTTTAAAATCAATAAAAACACTTCATTCCAAAATTCTGGACTCTTTTGCTGTGAGATTTCTGCTTCCCTTTCATAATTCCTCCCCGACACAGAGA